ATGGTGGACAGTGTTGGCTGGAGCTTCCCGACTAAATCAAGCCTGGAAGCAGGAGCGGCATCCACTTCCAAAATGGCTTGCCTCTGGAAACTCTATGTACAAACAGTGCTCAGGCTGTTCGTTCATAGGGTCGCTATGAGTCGTCTACAACTCGACGGCATTAAACAACAACAACAACATTTGTTCTCTACATGGAGCATGGTATGTCAAATATACTTCTCCAACCCTACAACTCAAAGGCATCAATTCTTACATCATCCTTAGTCATTGTCTAGCTTTCTGATGCATAGCAAGTAATTGTAAAGATGATGTCCTCGATCAGATGCACTTAGTCTTTATAATGACATCAAGTGCTCTTTAGGCCTTTAGAGAGGCCCCTGACAGCAGACTTTTCCAATGCAATTAGTTTTTTTTATTTCCTGTATGCTGGTGCCAAGAGTGTTGATTGTGGATTTAAGCAAGATAAAATAGTTAACACCTCAATCTCTTCTCCATCCATCATGGTGAGAATCTTTGTCTTCTTGATGTTAAGCTTCAATCCATATTGAAGATTACAGTCCTTGACCTTCTGCATCATATGCTTCAGATCTTCCTGAGTTTCAGCAAGCAAGGTTGTATCATCTGAATAACACTATGAGTTTGATGAGTTTTCCTCCAGTCCTGATGCCACATTCCTCCTCACAGAGTCCAGTCTCCCAAATGATCTGTTCTGCAAATATAAATGGATTATTATTCAGCTATGAGAAGAAATGAAGTTCTGATACATTCCATGACATGAATAAATCATAGAAACATATATAAGAAATAGTTTAGATACAAAACCACAAATAATATATTATACCATAGGAAAGTGCACAGAAATCAGAGTCTATTCGTGGTTACCAATGCTGAAAAGTTATTCATCAAGTTTCACTGACAAGGAAGCTCTTGTAGCCTAGTGGTAAGAAGGTGTGCTGCAATCCCCAAAGCATGTGGTTTGAATCCACTAGCTGATCTGTGGGAGAAAGATGGGCAATCTCCTCCTGTGTGATTAAGTTTCACTAGACAGTTAATTTACAAGTAGACTAATAATCCTTCTTAGTCTGTGTTAGTCTGTCACTTCCATAAAGAGCTGTCCACAGTGTGTTGTCCTGCTGACATCTGAAACACTGGTGACATAGCTTCTAGCATTACAAGCCATTAAAGTATGACCAACTGATGGACAAGTAGCAGATGACATGACTTTACATGCTGAAAGTGAAGCTTTGAAGCACTTATGAAAATCAAAGCCTATAGTCTTCAGTATGGATTACACTTATCATGAAGAAAACAAAACTTCTCATAACTGGACCAATAAGCAACATTATGATAAATAGATAAAAATGGAAGTTGTCAAAGATTTAATTTTATTTGGATCCACAATCAAAGCCCAGCAGTCAAGATCCCAAGCAACATATTATATTGGCAAATGTGACAAAGAAGGTCTTTTTAAACTGCTAATGAGTAAGGATGCCACTTTGAGAACTAAGGTATGCCTGACCTCTAACCATGTTATATTTCATCATCCCATACAGATACAAGAGCTGGAGAAGAACTGATACCTTTTAGTTGTGGTACTGGTGAATAATATTACATATTACCATGGGCTGCCAGAAAATGAACAAATCTATTTTGGAAAATGTGTACCTAGACCACTTCATTGAAACAAGGATGGTAAGACTTAACCTCACATGTTTTGGACATCAGCATGGACCAGTATCTGGAGAAGAATGTTATGCTTTGTAAAGTAGAGGATCAGTGAAAAACAAAGACCCTTATAACAAGACAAATTGGCACAATAACCGTGATTGTGCAGATGGTGCAGAAAACCTTGCAGTATTTTGTTTTCTTGCACAAAGAGTCACTGTAAGTCAAAACTAACTAAATGACTCCTAACTACATTAACAGAAGCCAAGCCACAGAGAGGGAGTAACAGGGAATCACTGAGGAATACTGTTGAACAGCAACCCTATGAAGAACAGACTAAATCCTGTCCTGTGTCATCCTCATCATCTTGGACACACTCGAGCCCACTGCAGCAGTTACTGTGTAAGTCCATCTGGTTGAGGGTCTTCCACTCTTTCACTGACCCTCTACCTTTCCCAAGCATGATGTCCTTTCCAAGGAATTGTCTCTCCTACAACACGCCCAAAGTATATAAGACAAAGCTTTGTGATCTTTGCCTCCAAGGAGCACTTCGTACTCTCTCCAAGACATATTTGCTTATTCTTTTGACAGTCTATGGGTGTTCAGTAGTCTTCTCAAACACCACACAGCTCAAAGGCATCAATTCTTCTGTCATTATTACTCATTATCCAGATTTCAGATCATAGCAAACGATTGAAAAGATCATGGCCTGAGTCAGGCACATCTTAATTCTGAAACTGACATCATCGCCCTCAGTAATTTGAAAAAGTCCCTGATTGCAGACTTTCCCAGTGCGATACCAATCCGCTAATACCAAGTGTTGATTGTAGATCCAAGGAAGATGAAATACATTTCAGTCTTGTTTCCACCTATCATGATTGCTGCCTGTCAATCCAGAGCTGTGGATTTTTGTCTTCTTGATGTTTAGAAGTAATCCATATTGAAGATTGTAGTCCAGGGTCCGAGGAATTTGGAGTCACAGGAAGAATCCTGAAGTCAAGGGAATGTCTATGGACTTTAGAAGGATCTGCAGTGCATATAGGGAGGTCTGGGATCCCAAAAGGAGTATGGAGTAAAGGTGTTGGGGTTTGAGGAAGATGCTAATTTAGACTAAAAGGTGGAAGAGATTTGTTCTCTGAGTTGCAAGATGTGCCCGGCAGCACCGTAATTTTACTGCAGTACGTCCACCTCCCCTCCTGAATCAGCCCTCCGCCTTCCCGTCCAACCTCACCCCAACCTGCATGCCCACTGCAGGCAGACGACGCCAAGCTGGCGCACACGACCGGCCTCCGCCGAGGGCGCGGGAGAAACGCCCCCTCGCGGCGGTCCAGGAGCTCAGGCCCCGCCCCCTGCCCCCCCTCCCCGAGCCACTTCCGGCAGGCACTGCGCTGCTGGGGGGCGCGGGCGAGGATGGCGGCGGAGAACGAGGCCAGCCAGGAGAGCGCCCTGGGCGCCTACTCGCCCGTGGACTACATGAGCATCACCAGCTTCCCGCGGCTGCCCGAAGACGAGCCAGCGCCCGCTGCCCCACTGAGGGGCCGCAAGGACGAAGACGCCTTTCTGGGAGACCCCGAGACCGGTGAGGCCCGCTGGCCCCGTCCCTGCCCCGCCTCGGGACGCCCCTGGTTCTGTCATCTACGTGGAGCATCCTCCTCCAGCCTCCATCATCTTAATTTATCTTTTTTTCCCCTCCTGGACCTCCTCCCTTCGCCTCCCTTGCTTCTGTTTAATAATTGGTGGGATGGGGGTGCATTTCTGTCTTGGAGGCTTAGGATGCGACAAGGAGAAATGATGCCAGGGACTGCAGTAGGCGGGACTGGGGTTACCTCTTGGGAAGAACCAACTAAAAAGGAAGGAATGTTGGAGGGGAGAGCCTACAGAACAGCTGTTATTACAGAGAAGAGATCTTTGTCTAGCTATGGAGAAGTAAGAGATAGAAGAAGCAGGAGGGATAGAGGCTAGGTCTTGAGAAGAACTTCCCCACATCCTGGGATTATGGGGAGGGGAGAAAACGAGGTCTTCATGTCCAGGGAGGAGATAAAAAGAAGACAGCTCCCCTCTTTCAGGGTGTGCTGGATACTGGGAGACAGGGGCATGGATAGCATGACCTCTCAAAGTCCTTGGGGACTAGAGAGCTAGGTGCCATCTCTATCTTGTGGATTACCTCACCCTTCCCAGAGCCATGGACCAGGCTGGGATGTGGTAAGGTACCCTGATGCCCAGAAAGCAGACGCCAAAATTTTTCTGTGTTCTCCTCAGCCTTCTTCAAGGACTGCAAATGTGGAGAGATATAGGGAGGAAGGAGAGAATTTAGGGAAAACCTGGGAGTCTAGTTTTCTTTAAGCATCCCTTCCCTAATGCTCTTCTTCCCATCCATGTGGTCCAGCTGCATCCTTCCCTCCACCTCATTCTACATTCTTCATCCTCCATCCCTCTTCCCCCCAACGTCACTTCCTGGCATGAGAGCATCCTTCTGTCTCACTCATGTTTTTGCTTCGGGTGCCCGCACTTGGACTTGTCCCTTACCAGCCTGTCAGATCCTGCTTCGCTGCCTAGTCCTCTCTAGCTTAGCCTTTCCACAGCTGCTCCTAGCCTGACAGCCCCATATTGTCTACCCCTCCGCAGGGGAGCAGCAACTGCTATGACCTACTGCCTGGCATGGATGAGGGTCAGGGTAGAGCTTATAGGCATCAAATATTAGGGGTGCAGATCAAAACTTCTTGTTTAGAGTAAGCCCTAGAGTCAAGAGTTAGCTGAGGGAAGAGTGAGAAATTGTACCCTGAAATTAAGTCCTTTAGGGCATCAGAAAACAGGCTTGCTCTTCTGATCTTAACACAACTAGATTGACTCTGGGTACAACTCCCCAGTCCTAGGATTTAGTTTCCTCTTGTAGTTCAATGGGGGATGATTTGCTCTCCTAGAGACTAGAAATCCCTGGTATGTTTTCTTCTACCCCACTATAAGTATCTGAATATTTATCACAACCTGTGATTATTTGTGTGATTATATGACTACTCTTACCTGTGAGCCCCATGAAGACGAGAGTTTTGATTGTTTTATTTACTCTCTCTCCAACATCTAGCATAGTGTCTACTGTGTGATGGTCACTCAAAATAATTTTTGCATGAATAAATGAATGAAAGAGAAGATTGCGGGATGAATGAAAAGCAGGGGGAGGGATCTCCCAAACCTCAGGGAACCTGGAGCAGTTCGGTACAGGCTTTATCTTCATTTGTGCAGAAATCTATCAGAAACCCTGAACTTCTGGGACCCTGCACTTTCTGCCGAGGTTCCAAGGGACCTGACTTGTAAGTTCCAAGACCTAACTGTTCTGTGTAATCATTTTAGTGCCCTGTCTTCCAGCTCTACTACCAAACCCCAAGGTTCTTTGGCCAGGTTGGACCAGACTACTGGCTAAGATGGCTATTTCTGTGTTCCCAACCTGGTAGTGCCATCTAGTGGCCTGCTGTGATCCTCTTAGCCAGGACCTGGTTTGTGCCTGGTTATCCTTTTGCCTTGCTGCTCTACATAACTTTTAAATGCCAGGCACTCCTTGGGCCCTGTGGAAAATATGGTTACTCTAGGACAGGGTTCAGATCTGTTGCTTGTAAGTTCATAGGGTCACTATAAATCTTTTTTTTAATAAAAAAAATCTAGATTTATTCTCTCACAGGCAGACAGTATCAGCAGGTACAACTAGAGGGATCACTCCACAGATGATACATTAAAAAAAACGGCATTATTAGCAAACAGTCCCTGGTGTGTTCTCTGTAACAATATTTACTTCAGTGTAAACAGATACGATTATTGTGGTCACAACAGCTTGGCAAAAAAACCCCACAAACAACACACACACACACACACACACACAGAAAAAGGGAAAGTTTTTTGGATCCTAGAACAGGTGCAATTAACTAGACTTTTGTAACAGTCTTGATCCACCTGTCACCATCCCCCTACATGGAGGGCAAAGAAGGGTCACTATAAATCTTACTTGACTCAACAGTACCTAACGATAACAATAACAACAACAACAGTGTCTTGGTGGTCAAGAGTTGCTCTGTCAACCCAGAGGTTTGAATCCACCAGCCATGCCACTGGAGAAAGATGGGCAATCTCCTCCTGTGTAAAAAAACAACAGCTCTGAAGTTGGAAAAGCACTTTCTTTCCTCTAACCTCTGAATTCCTCTTTTTCCCAGGCTATTGTTGTTGTTAAGTGCTATCAAGTCCAGTAGGACTTGTAGCAACCCTATGAACAACGTATCTGAACCCTGTGCTATTCTTATTGTTACAAAACAAAACATTGCCTGTTCCATATTATCCTTACAATCTTTTCTGTGTTTAAACCCATTGTTGCCTTCTAACCTCATCTTCCAGCACTGTATCAGACAGTATTCCACTGCTAGTCATAAAGGGACTTTTTAAAATTTTTTTAAAATTATTATTATTTGTGTGTGTGTACCGTCAAATCTGATCTGACTGGTACAGGAGGAGATTGCCCCTCCTTCAGCAGAGCATCTGGTGGATTTGAACTGTGCGCCTCTGGGATTGCAGTGCAGCTTCTTGCCATAGTTATAAAGTTTTCAATTAATGTTGTTGTTAACTGACCCATAGCTGACCCTCCAGCAGACTTCCAGAAGCAGCAGATCACATGGAGATTATCCATCTTTCTCCTTTGGAGCAGCTGGTGGATTTGAACCATGTGTTTGGGGTTGGCAGTGAAATTCCTTACCACTAAGTCACCAGAATTCCCTTTTAAATGACTATCAGTGGTCTTAAAATTTTAGAGGTAGATAGCCAAGCTTGTTTCCTAGTCTTCTCAGTCTGGAAGCTCCACTGAAACTTGTCCACCGTGAGTGACTCTGCTGGTATTTGAAATACCGGTGACATCACTTCCAGCATCGCAGAAATACACAAGCCATCACAGTGCAGCAAACTGGTAGATGAGGTTGTTTCTCCCAGGTGTCTGCCTCTAAGTGTTCTATAAGTGCTTCACCTTCAGTATGTCCTATGCTGAAGTCATCATTTCTTAACCCACACTCCTTCCTGCCCTTCCCCCAGTGTCATTCTCAGTGATACTGCCATTCATACATAGTGTAAGTCCGGGAGCCATCCTTGATTTTCCTTCTTGCTCTCATTTCCAAATGGTGAGTGGGTCTTTTCTGTCCTCTAAATGTTTTTCCACAGTCATCTCTCCTTCACCATCCCTATCACCGTAGACTAAGCTTCCATGCTTTTCTCACCTGTATTACTCCATAGGCTTCTGGTTATTATTCTTGTCTCCTGTCTCTGTTTCCCCAGGTCCATCCACCACCCTGCACTTCTGATTATGTCACTTCTGGTTCAAAAATCTTTAGTGATTCTCTTTTTAAGGGAGTAAACAAGCCAGGGATAAGCCTCTATTCAACAAATTTTTCTTGAAATGGACAAAGTAGTAGATTCTATTTAGGGATTTGTTTCTTTCTGTGTTGGGGGTGTGTGTGTCTATTTGTTCTAAATTAAGCCAAAATGGAACCAAATTTAAGAACATAATTTTATTGGGTAACATAACTGAAAAATCCAAAGATGTCAAGCCACAGACAAAGCTGAATACCTTTAATTTTCCTCCCTCTCAAATAAACAGCAGAAACGTTTATTGTTGATTCCAACTCATACTCAAGTGTTCCTGAGTAGAACCATGCTCCACAGAGTTTTTAATGGCTATGATATTTCAGAAATAGTTCACCATACCTTTCTTCCAAGGAGCCTCAGGTGGATTTGAACTGCCAGCCTTTCAGAGGGGAGGAGGAGGAAGGGGAAAAAATAACAAAAAGGATGGGTTTTTTTTTCTTGCCTTCTTTTTTGTTGATTTCACCTTTAGAAACTTTTCCTCAGCTACAAGCTCACATTCTACCAGTTTAGCAACCTCAACAGAAGACATCCTCTTTCTCAGTACTTTCAGCAGAAGCACACAGTTTAAGTCACATTGAGCTAGTTTTAATGCATGCCTAATTCTGGACCAATTGCTATATAGTGGCTGTCAGTTTTGATGGACCAGACCTGGAGCATAAGCCCACTCTACCCATGAATAAGTCTATTACCTAAAAAAAGCAGAGAGTAACTCCTAAAGAACTAGGAAGGACTCTTAGTAGCAGCTCTGACAAGGTATCCCATAGTGTGTTTCAGTGTTAACCAAAAGGTTGTGAGAAAGGTATGAAGTCTCCTCACAATAAGATGTACAGTCTTGGAACCCTGATGGAAAGCCACTGTTAGTCGGAATGGACTCAATGGCAGTAAGTTTGGCTGTTTTGTCTTATAAGAATGTGGAAAGTTGTCTAAGCAAAAATGAGATACATACCAGGCCAGCCACCTCCAGACAGCTTCTCTTGGTTTCCTAAAAATTCACAATATTGTTATTGTTGTTCTTTGCCATCGAGTTGGAATCAACTCATAGCTGAACCTCCAGTGGGTTTTCAGAGACAGTAAGTCACACAGGAGATTGCCCATCCTTCTGCAGAGCAGCTGGTGGATTTGAACCATATGCCTTTAGGACTGCAGTACAGCTTCTTACCACTGGGCCACCAGAGCTCCCTAAATTCACAATAGCCAAAATTAAAGTTATTATTTTTTCCCAAAAATATTTCTTTCTCTTGGTCCCAAACTAACCTTTTCTCAGTATCCTGCTCTAGCCCTTCCATACTGTTTTTATTGCTCCAGCTCTTGCACAGTTAATGGAATAGGTGCTCCCCAAATTTTTTTTCAATAAATTAATAAATTCATAATTGACTTTGGAACAAGGAGCTTTGAATAGATCCAGCTCTGATGGGACATCTTACCTCCTACCATCTCAGCTCTGACTGGAAAAAACAGAATTCAGAAAAAGTACAAGGAAAAAAATAATGTCAACTAGAATTACCTTTTAAGGTTGGTTTTTGAAGATGAAAATGGCTCCTAATATTATGTGGCACAATGAAAAAAGAGTTTTAGTTAGCTAGAAAATTGGTTCTGACTCTTACTTTTTTACTGTGCACAGACATTATCACCTTTTTCAGATGCAGTTTCCTCATTTGAAAGTAAAGTGAAGAGAGCAGGGTCTTTCTCATAAAGTCATAGGACCATTCAAAAAGGCATGTATGTAAAGTGCCTGGTATAGAGTCAGCATCAAAAAATACAAGTTCAAGGCTCTTCCTTGCATTTCTTTTAGAACCTCTATGGGCCAAGGAGAATTCTGTGCTCACAGTGGATATTTATTTAACATCTGTTTGTTGAATGAATTCCAATTTATAGATTATGCTGCTGAGAGTTCATGATCAGCAGAGGGAAACTCCCAAGAGAGAAATTTCTTTTTAAAGAAAAAAAAAAAAAAAGGAAAGCAAATTACATGTTCATGATTAAAAACAAAAAGTAACAGTAAAGTAAAAATGTCCTTCTCCATTTCTATTTTTTCTGAATTTCTCAATTTTTAAAAACTTTCCCTACTTCATCTTATTAACATATTCAGTATCTTTTGCCAAAAGTAGCCACCATAAAGAAATTCTTCAAATATTTTGCATATCTCAGTATTTTTATTTATCTATGTATATCTATCTAGTCTCTTATTTAGAAAAAAAAAAATTAAAAGATGGGGATATAGATCATGGAAGATCTCAAATGCCAGGCAAGAAAGCCTGGATTTGATTGTGTTGACATTGATGAGTCACATTAGGTTTTAAACAGAAAAAATTAACATAATCCATTTTTAATATTATTATACAGACTTTTAAATTTTATTATTTTTAGTGTGTTTACAATCAAATCAGATCTGACTGGTACAGGAGGAGATTGCCCCTCCTTCTCCAGCAGACCATCTGGTGGATTCGAACTATGTAGCTCTGGGATTGCAGTGCAGTTTCTTGCCACTAGGCCACCAGAGCTCCTATTATACAGACTTTTAAAGAGATTATATACTTCTAGTGCACAGTAGTAGACACTTGTAAAAGTACTTAACGCAAAAAATGAACTTTTTAAAAATTGTGACTGCAAAAAGGTATTAAATGTCAACATACTAGGCTGTTCCTTTACTGCTCACAAACAGCTAGGATCTTTAGGCTATTTAGGGACCTGAGTTCATATCTAATCACTCCCAGAACAAGGACTTCTGTGATGAAGGAGGGTGTCAGTCCTATCCAAGACAGGAAAGGAATGGAATTAACTTTGAATAAGAGCTATAAGATAGTTCCTTATACCCATCCTGCCCATTATTAGGTAAGAGAAAGTGAGGCTCCTAGACTTGACCATAGTTAATCACTCATTCAGGAGTTACTCACTTCCTTGAGAGAGAGAGAAACATCATTCAGGTTTCCCCTGCTTCCACTTTTACAGTCTTCCAATCCATTCTCTAGAAGGCAGCCAGGGAGATGTTTTTAAACACAGAACATTCTTGCTTAAAACTCTCCTGTGACTTCCCATCAGTCTTGACATAAAACCCAAGCTCTTCACTAGGACCACATTGTCCAGTATATCTGGCCTTGCCTTCAATCCCTGCTACTCTTTCCCCTCACAACTACACCCAGGCAACCGAGGCCTTGAGTTTTCTTCTAGTATATCAACCTCATTCCCACTCTAGGGCCTTTGTACCTACTGTTTTCACTTTCTGGAAATAGACACCCACACATCCCTTCTTCTGCATATGGCTAGGTTCACTTCATTCCTGTTCTCAACTTCAAGCCACCTCCACAGAAAAGCTTTTCCCAATTTCCCCAGTGAAGTAGCCTTGCACCATTACTCTTCCCCATCTTTATTTCTTCATAGCATCTTCCATAACGTGCAATTATGTACTCTTTCCTTTACTTGTTTGACTTTTCTTCCACTGAGAACCACACTCCAGGGCAGAAATGATCTGTGCCTAGCATAGGGCTAGACATGTAAGAGGCTTCCATATTTGTTGACTGGATGATGGAGGCCTGAGTATCCACTCAGTTCATGTCGCTACCTCCTTGTATTGAAGGCTGGGCCCCAGCTCCCTCCGGGATCTGGTTTCAAGGGCCCGACCTACCCCCTTTCACTCCTTAGCCTATGCAGGAAGTGTTCTTAGTCCAGGGTATAAGGAAATTTGGCCAAGGTGTCTCCCAGGGCGGGAATCCAGCTCAGCTGGGGAGGTCCTTGTGTCTCCTAAGCTGAGCACTGCTGTCTCCGCCCACCTCTGGATGCGAGGGGAGAGGCTGAAAGGTGAGCTGTGCAGGTTGTGGGATTTGGAGGGGGGAGGAGGGGCGCGCAAAGTAGTGCCGACCAAACAAGGACTGGCAGGGGTCACTCAGACCGACCCGTCCCCCACCTACTCGCCACCCGCAGACCCGGACTCCTTCCTAAAGTCTGCGAGACTGCAGCGACTGCCCTCGTCGTCATCAGAGATGGGTAGCCCCGACGGGTCGCCACTGAGGGAGACACGCAAGGACCCGTTCTCAGCAGCAGCGGCCGAGTGCTCCTGTCGCCAGGATGGGCTCACGGTCATCGTCACAGCCTGCCTCACCTTCGCCACGGGCGTCACTGTGGCGCTCATCATGCAGATCTACTTCGGGGACCCTCAGGTAAGGGGAACGAGGGAGGGCTTGAAAAGACTGGGAATTGGAGAATGGACCAAGTGGTGGGAGGGGGCCAGAAAATGGAAAGGGGAGAGGAGGAACGTCCCAAAGAAAATGACTCTGCGACTCAGAAAGGACAAAGCTAGGCTCCACTGATGGGGTAGGAGGGACTTGAGATAATGAGGGAGGGGACTTAGGGGAGAGTCAAGGGGATAAGAGGGCAGGGCCCCCACCACCATCACCCCCTCTGTAGAGGTTCTGAAGTTAGTGGAGGCACTTTAGGGAGGTAAGGGGGTTCCTACTGCCTCCACTTAGGACTCTCCCCGACCCCCCACCCCAGATCTTCCAACAGGGTGCAGTGGTGACCGATGCTGCCCGCTGCACATCACTTGGCATCGAGGTGCTCAGTAAGCAGGGATCTTCTGTGGATGCGGCTGTGGCAGCTGCCTTGTGTTTGGGGATCGTGGCCCCACACAGCTCTGGCCTGGGAGGGTAAGGACCATCAAGCTGTCGATGTTAGGATCTTATAGAAATATATTTTGCTTCCTAGTCTGGAAGCCTCAGGGTCCCCAGTTTGGGCAGACAGGCAACTAGGGGCCAATTCATTGCCCGTTTTCTTTCTGTTCCCAATCTCGCTCCTTTTTCTCCGGATGGAATTAGAGAAGTCATTTGCTGGAAGACGTGGAGGTGTTAGGAGAAGCTTCTTTATTGGAAAATAACGTTTGTAAATTGTAAAGTGAGATGTACAAGTAGGATCATGAATTTAGTATCACCAATACCTGTATATCTGTTGAAAGCTAGCGACCGTCAATTCTCCAGAAATAGACATACGGCTTTCTGTATAAAGTGCCAGATCCCAGAGTAAGAACTCTTAAAACTGAGGCTACAGCATGGTCTCTCATGGGCTGTACCTACCAAACAGATGGTTTCAAGTTTGGCTTCCCACAGTTTTGTTACACTTAATTTTTTATTTTTTTCATTTGTTGCTATTGTTTTAAAAGTGAGAATTTTTACACATAAGATCGTCAGTAGACAGCAGATATGGTAGCAACATTGGACCCACAATCCCACTTGACTGAGCAGAAGCTGCTTCTCCTGGCTGGGAAGTGCTGCCCACTTTGCCATAAATCCTACCACTCACAGGTCTTTGCTTTTGTCCTCAACTAGTTCCTTAGCTGTAGGCATTTGAGTTTTCAACTCCTGTCTTAGATGACCAGTCACAAAAATGGGACAAGCTGACAAAGTTCACATCTTGACTTCTACAAAAAACAGGATCTCTAGGCTCTACCAAAAGAAACCAGCCTTTTTGTTTTGTCCAATCTATCCTTACATAAGCCAGTTCTGGGGGAGGGGGGAAGTTACCCCAGTAGGCAGGTGCAGGAAGCTGGCAGGAATCCAGTTTTGGGTGAAGGTGGAGGTAGGGGGTAGAACATCCTGCTCTCCCAGTCTCTGGGTTTTCCCTAATCAGAGATTAAAGTCTCCAATGACAAACTCCAAAGAGGCCCATGGACCCTCTCCAACCCTCAGCTTCACTTCCCACACTAGCAGAGTGACTGAATCTCTGCAAGGAGGGGGCACAGCCACCTGGCCCCAGTGATGGACTGAATAGGTAATAGAGGGTAGTAGGTTAATTATTCAAGGGGGTGACAACTTCTTGTCCTCCCTTGTGTGTCTTTTCCAGAGGGGGTGTGATGCTGGTACATGACATCCGGAGAAACAAGAGCCGATTGATTGACTTCCGGGAGTCTGCACCAGGGGCTCTCAGGGAAGAGGCCCTGCAGAGATTCTGGGAGACCAAGGTGGGGCCCCTGGTGGGAACAGGGCATCAAGGGAGGGAGTAGTATCCTTCTACTGTCCTGCTAACCCAAACATTCATTTATAGAGTACTTACTATGTTATCATTGTTGTTGGCCATTGAGGACCTTCTGACTCATATCAACCTTATAGGACAGAGTAGAATGGTCTCTGAGTTTCTAAGGCTATAATCTTCAAAGAAGACCTCGTCACTTTTCTCCTGTGGAGCTGTTGAGCTCAAACTGCCAATCTGTTGGTCAGCAGCTAAGTGCTTACTTACTGTTTCACCAGCCACCAAAACAACTGCCATTGAGTTGATTGTAACTCAGCAACCCTGTCAGGGTAGAACTTCCCAACAGAGCTTCTAAGGCTGTAAATCTCTATGAAAGTAGGCTGCCACATCTTTCTTCCTTGGGGTAGCTCAACTGCACCACCTAGGGTTGAGCAGGGCACTTTTAGTCTATGAAGGAGATAAGCAATTCCAAAGTAAAATGAACTAAAAAATGTAGGTTGTTGATAACAGGCTATACAACAACACCTTAACCTTACATCTCTGGCAGCCCTGCCTATCTGGCACATAGGAAGGAAGAAAAAGGAGATGTCACAAATTCGCTGCACTCATGTTTACACATCTCACACTGAGCCTTTTCACTCTAACTTCCTTAGCTCGCTCAGCATACTGCAAGATACAGAGCAGCTGCTAGAACCCTACCCATCATCAGCTGAGTGCAAAGGAGGAAACAGACACAAGATCTTAGAATGGAAGTATTTACTCTTGGCATAGTTCATAAGAAGTTGTGCTGTTAGTCCAAAGGTTGAGGTGCTCTGGTTGTTCGAATCCAGCAGCAGCTATGAGTGAAAAAGGTGGCCAGTCTCCTGCCATGCAATTTACAGCCTCAGATATCTAACGGAAGATCAGCTATGTCGGAACTGACCCAAGGGCAGTGGTTGAGTGAAGTGGTAAAAGCCAAACACAAACCTGAGTTAACATAGCACAGAGTAATAATGGAATGATAAAGGTGAAATGAAGTCCTCTTATCCATCACCATTTAAAGGACCTGGTGACAGAGTGCATATCATGTTTGACTGCTAACTGAAAGATCAGTGGTTCAAACCCACTAGCCCCCTTCTTGGAAGAATGAGAGGCATTCTACTCTAGTAAAGAATTACAGCCTTAGAAACCCAATGAGTCAGAATGGACTCAGCAGAAATGTGTTTCAATTTGGTATCTACCATTTAAAAAACACAGTGTTAGATATAACCCAAGATAGACAGGTTTCCATCAAAATTGGTTGTATCTTGGCTCATAAAAGGTTTTCCTTAATTTATAAATCCTTCAGCTAGGCTATCTAGGGAAAGGCCTTTCCATATTTGTTGACAGGAAGTTAATGAGATGGGATGGGTAGAATACTGTAGAGGGAGACTATGACTTACGTCCACTATTGGGGTTCCTTCTGGGGAGAGCTTGTCCCTCCCCTGGGATACTTGGCCTGTGTCTCTCCCCTGTGCCAGCCCCCATCCCTGGCTTGGGGCTCTGCAGAGTTCAGCCCAGCCCCCCCCTTCCAGTGACCTGGTCTCCTCTCTCCCTCGCCTGCCCGCCTTGCCCAGCCTGGGCTCTTGGTGGGGGTCCCCGGAATGGTCAAGGGGCTATACGAAGCTCACCAGCTGTATGGCAGGTAAAGACTTCCCCCTGGGGACCAGGGGCTCTGCCTGCACCCGTCCTAGGAGAGTCCTCTCCCATGTACCTGGGTTCTTCCCATCCCAACCTCTGCCCACACCCAAAATACCCTTCCCTTGCTAAGACTCCCTCCCAGTTACCCCCCTACCCCCCAAGACCCCTTTCTTTCTCTAGGATTCCCTCTAAGTCCTGATCTTTACCCACGCCCACCCCCACCAGGTTGCCATGGTCCCAAGTCCTGGCTTTCGCAGCAGCTGTAGCCCAAGATGGCTTCAACGTGACCCATGACCTAGGTCAGTGGGATTGGAGGAGAGGCATTTAGTTAATGGAGAAGGGAGGGGACACCCGAGATATGGGGCCCAAACCAGAAAGAACATCCATTCCAGTTTGTTCCTCAGACCCCACGGCCATCCCATCCACTCTCATCTGGAGGCAGTTTCCAATGAGGGAGCCTCCACTGAGGGTCCCAGAGCGCTCAGAGCTCATCCAGCCCACTTATAACGCGTCTCAGTCCGCTGGTCCAGTACCCGCGGCCCCCGCCCAGCTTCCCGTCCCTGCCCTTAGCCCGCGCCCTGGCGGAGCAGCCACCTCCCAACGTGTCCGATCGTTTCCGCGAGACGTTCCTGCCGTCGGGCCGCCCGCCGCTACCTGACTCGCTGCTGCGTCGCCCGGACCTGGCGGCTCTGCTGAGCGCGCTGGGCGCCGCGGGTCCCTCCTACTTCTACGCCGGCAACAACCTCACGCTGGAAATGGTGGCGGAGGTGAGCGCGCGGGACACCGCCAGGGGGCGCGGGCCGCGGCGGAACCGCAGACTCTAGGGCGGGGCCAGGCCCTAGGGCAGGGACCGCCTCTAGGCCTCTTTTTTTAAAAAAATTTTTTTCCTGTTATTCTGATTTATTTACAAAGTTTGAATACACTGCTTTTCACAAAAGATCCTTCCCATTACCTTCATTCCACCCACCCATCGAATTGTCCAACCCTATGATTAACATTCTACAACGCCCCCATTCTCACCCCTCTATTTCCTCTAGGCCTCTTCCTTCCAAATCTTCCAGTGTCTGTCTCTCTGTCTTCCTCCCTCCCTCCCTCTCTCTCTTTCTATATAACATGCACATATGTTTAGATTTATACATGTCTTTGTGTGTAGTTTGCATGTATGTATATGTGTGAATGGATGATGGTAGCACAATGGTTAAGAGTGTGAATGGTTAAGATGGGCATTTGGAATCCACCATTAATTCTGTAAAAAAGACTTGAAGATCTACTCCCATAAGATTTCAGCCTAGCGAACTATGAGGAAATTCTACCCATCCTAATGGTTGTTGTTGTTATGTGCCGTCAAGTCGCTTACGACTCATAGCGACCCTATGTACAACAGCCCTAAACTCTGCTCTGTCCTGTGCCAATTGCACTGTCTCTGACACTCCCATCCCGATTATCCCAGTCACTGAATCAATCCACCTCATAGAGGGCCTTCCCCTCCTGCGCTGTCCCTCCACCCTCCCAAGCATGATGTCCTTCTCCAAGGACCAGTCTCTCCTCACAACATGTCCAAAGTATGTTAGACGGAGCCTCAGAATCCTTGCCTCCAAGGAGCCAGTGGGTTTAACCCTTTCCAGGACAAATCTGTTTGTTTTCCTAGCAGCCCATGGTATTCTCAATACTCTTCTCCAGCACCACAGCTCAAAGGCATCAATTCTCCTTTTATCCTCCTTGGTCATTGTCCAACTCTCTGATCCATAACAAGTGATTGCAAATACCATGGCCTGTATCAGGCGCACCTTAGTCTCCAGAGAGACACCATTGCTCTTCAGTACTTTGGAGAGGTCCCTAACAGCAGACTTTCCCATGGCAGTGCGCCTTTTAATTTCCTGGCTGCTGGTGCCAAGACTGTTGACGGTGGAGCCAAGCAAACTAAAGCTGTGTACAATCTCAGTCTCTTCACCATCCATCCTGATGCTGCCAATTGGTCCAATGGTGAGAATCCTAATGGTAGCAAATTATTTAAGAGAGAAACAGTGGGAATGTGTGCTGTGTTTGTGTGTGAGAGAGAGACAGACAGACAGGCAGATAGACACAGATAAAATGGCAATGTGTGTGTGTGTGTGTGTGTGTGAGAGAGAGAGAGAGAGAGAGACAGACAGACAGACAGACAGACACAGATCAGGTGGATTACAACTGACACAGATCAGGTGGATTACAACTCAGGGTAACTCTCCATTAGTTTTTGAGGATGTGAGTCATTATGGGAGAAGATTGCCTATGTTTTCTTTCTCCTGTGAAGAAGCTGGTGAATTCAAACCCTGATCTTTCAGTTACCAGGGCAATACATTATAAGCATTTTCTCTCTCATTCTCACTCTCTCTTTCTCTCTGTATATGCATACATTAGTTGCTAACTGATTTGACTAGTTAAAATCAGAAGCTACAAAACAGCATTCAAGCGAGCTCTGGTGGCCTAGTGGCAAGAAGCTGCAACTGCAAGTTCAGAGGTGCACAGTTCAAATCCACCAGATGCTCTGCTCGAGAAGGAGGAACAATGTCCTCCTGTACCAGTCAGATCTCATTCGACGGTACACACAAAAAATAATGAAATAAAAAAAAAATTAAAACAGCATTCAGAGAGAAGTCTCCTCACCCCTGTGCTCAGCTACCAATGCCCCTTCCTGGAGTTCATGATTGATATTAGTTTCTTGTACATCCTTCTGGAAATACTGCTTACACAAGCAAATATGGAGATCTTATATGTTGTTGTTAGTGCCATCAAATTGATTCAAATCCATGACACTCTATATATAGAACAAAACATTGCCCAGTCCTATGCCATCTTCACGTGTAGGGCTATACTTGAGTCCATTATTGCAAACCCTGTGTATTTTGAGTGCCTTCCAACCTAGGGAGCACATCAACAGAATAGACAAGATTCTGTTGTGATCCCAAGGGTTCTCCTCAACAACTTTTCAGAAGAGGATGACTGGGCCCTTGTTCTTAGTCTTTCTTAGTGTCAAAGTTCTACTGAAATGTGACCTTGCTAATATTTTAAATACCCATGGCATCATAACATGCAAGTTACTACAGTACAACAAACTGACAGATGAGTGATGAATATATTAGTGTAAACCCCTCTTTTTAATACAAATGTTGGGCACACATTTCTGAATCCATTTTTTTATTTAACATTATATCCTGCAAATATTTTTAAACCAGCACTCAATGATCTTTCTCTTTCACTTGTATTGCTTTTTTAATTACTTATGATCCCTGTTTTAGAGGTGAAAAGAAAACCCCAGCATACCGAGAGGGCTTCATTAATTTGTTGAGGACACACTGCTTTTCACTAGTGAAACTTCTGCCAATGTTTATGGTTCTCAATCTTAACACACTCACACACCCGCAAGTTTCCAGAATGCTATTTCTGGTCCTAAGAGAGGTACTTTTGACCTCAACAGGACTAGTAGCAACCTGATGGAGACCCATCATCAGCCTCAGCTTCTCATTCTTTGATTTATTCTGGACAGAGGGAAAAGCCTCATTTAGTGGTGATTGGCAGAACCAAAGTGACTCCCACAGGAGGTTACTATTGTTATGTGCCATCGAGTCTCTTGCAACTCATAGGAACCCTATGTACAACAGCTTTGTATCCTGCTCTAACTTGCGCCAATTTCATTGTATCCAACACGCCTACCCCTGTTAACGTTGCCACTGAGTCAATCCATCTCATCCATGGTCTTCCTCTCTTGAGCTGTCCTTCCACCCTTCCAAGCATGATGTCCTCCAAGGTCTGGTCCCTCCTTGCAATATGCCTAAAATATGTGAGACAGAACTTAAAATCCTTGCCTTCAAGGAGAAGCCTGGTTCCTAGCCAACCCCAAAGAGCTTTAATCAAGGCAGTAAGGGTTTCTGAGCATAGTGGTCAGTAGTTCAAAAATCCTAATAGAAAATTATGTTTAAGATAAGTATGTACAGACCAACTTAATGATTCTTTCATCTGTCCAATGGTGATAGTATTTAGCTCTGCATTACAGTGTGGAAATGAAACATTTGTAGAGGGCCTTCACTGTATTAATGTCATATGCTATGCTGGGTACCTGAGGTTCTTGGTTTAGTGATAAAAGTCCAGCTCAAACAGATTTAATTGAAAAGCCTAGGAAAGTATGACTGTAGATCTTCTTGAATCATCCACATTTTTAGGGCTTGATCTGTTTGTTTGTCTGACTTTGTCTCTTACAATTCTATGTTTCTTCTTAATTTTATGCTTTGTTAGATCCTTTCCAGAGTGGTCTTCACCAGCCAGTCTTAAGCATCCTTCCAGCAAACCATCTGTTAAAGTTGTTATATGCCATTGAGTTGGAACCTACTCATAGCTGACTCTCCAGCAGGTTTTCAAAGGCATTTAAGTCACACTGGAGGAAATGGCCCTTCTTTCTCCCTTGGAGCTGCTGGTGGGTTAGAACACTGTGCCTTGGGTTGGCAGCTCAGCTTCTTATAACTAGGCCACCAGAGCTCCTGAGCAAACCATTTAAAGAAGACCATTTCTCATTACTCATAATTCCAGCAAAAGCCTCAAGGTTGTGCCTCATCCCATTGAAAAATCTCAAAACCATTCCCAAAACTAATCATTGTAGCTATGGAAAAGGGATGCTCTGATATGCCATAGTTGGGTTGTGAGCCTTCTCCTAAGGGAAAAGGAGATTTTACATGCCAAAGAATAAAACTAGTACAGCTTTTACACCAAGCAGAACAGACCCAAGGTTGATTTTATTAACTCTCCACACAAAGGAACCAGCTAGAACACTCATTGTGCAGTTCACTAAGTGTGAAAAAGTCGGGAGTTTTAAGTACTAAAAACGTAATGAAAAAGGTGTTCTTAATGGTTCTGCTAATTCAGGATTGTAAATTAGCAATCTGAATGGGAAGAAATGAGTCCATATATTTGTACAAGATTTACTGGTTGGTAAGAGTGCTTAATTATATCCAGCAAGGATCTGGCCTACAAATATCATTCAAAGTTTATAGTTTTGCAATGGTTTTAGCTAATTGTAGTGAAATGCATAATTCAGTTTGTTTACTTTAGCCCTTTATTGTGATTTGAGTAAGTTTCCAGAGCACATTGACATTCCATTCATATGTATTTTCTTTCATGACACTGATTGTGATCCATACATTTTTAATAGCACTTTTCTTGCTGTCATTCTTCTTTCTTTTCATCGTGCTATCCTTTCCTTTCCTGTCATCTGAGTTCCTCCCTAAGCATATAATGCCTTTGTGATCTTATATTGCTGATAATTATTAGGGCTAAGTGCCTCCCTGATATTATTGTTCACCTTATAGATCTGTCCATTGTTTGGCTGAAAGTTGTGCCACAGGGGTGAGTTCAGAGTAGGCCCAAAGGGCATCTAAGGGCCATAGCCTTAGGAGTTCTAACTGTCTTTCCCAGACAAATAAACCTGGCCATTTATTACACTTTCAAGTTTTGTTCTATATCTCCCTTTGTGTTAAGTTTTGTTCTTTTATTCTATTGAAGACTCCCATTCCATCATGATCGCTTTCAGAGTGGTCAGCAGTGGTAGCTGGGCACCATCTAGTTCTTCTGGTCTCAAGGTCATAGAAGTTGAGGATTTTGAAGTCTATTAGAGCTATGGACTAATTGTTTCCACATATCTTTTATATTCTTCACTCTTTTTTGCCCCAAGACAAGGAGAAACAGTGGTTGTACCTTAGATGGCTACTCACCATAATTCAGTTTTTATGTCCCCTAAAAGCCATGATGGGGGATAGAGAAGGCATAAAAGTTGTGACTAGCTCACCTGTCTGTGACTTAAACTTATATTCAGCCAAGCCCACATCCTCTCACACGTGAGGGGGTCATTCTCTCCCCTCCAGGCTCAGCATGCAGGGGGCGTCATAACAGAGGAGGACTTCAGCAACTACAGCGCTCTTGTGGAGAAACCTGTGTGTGGCATGTATAAAGGTGACCTCTCCCCCAGCTCCTAGGCTCCCCATTTAGGAGAAATTCCTCAGTTCAGGACTATATTCTTTTGGCCCAGAGAGTGTTTCCCATTTCACAGGAGAGAAACTGAGACAGAGACCTACCTGGAGCAACCAACTAGGTTTTTTTGTGGGTGTTTTTTTGTTTTGTTTTGTTTTGTTTTTATTGTGTACTGTTGACTCCAGATCTGACTGGCACAGGAAGAGATTGCCCCTCCTTCTCCAGTGTAGCATCTGGTGGATTCGAACCGAACGCCTTCAGGATTGCAGCGGAGCTTCTTGCCACTAGTCCACCAAAGCTCCTCTTTTTTTTTTAGCAACCAACTGTTAAAAGAAAGCCAGAGCTAGCCTACCTGATGAAGTAGTCATAGGATCAATTGTTCCAAGTATTTAGGCTTCATAAGGTCGGATCACAGGTTAAATCCAGCAGTTGGTGGACAGAAGTATTTTTGCTTTAAGTTCTGAGTTACCCCTGTCCTATCTCACTGCTGTGTCTAAGAAAATTTTATAGGACACATAGAAGTTTCAAGAAAGAATGAACACTTTAAGACAGCCGTAGACCAGCTCTGTCATTATACTGAAGAGAAACAGAAGCTTAGAGGAGGGATGGAAGTTAATCTAAACTCAATAAAACCAAAGAAGAAAGCTGAAGAGACAAACTAACAACAGGGATGAAGTCCATGTTTACTGAAGCCAAGGTGGTAGATTCCTGGGTCAGTCAGAAGCAAACAGACTGGGGTCCCTTCTCTTCTGGGACCAGGCCCAGCTTCTCTTCCTTCTGTAAATGCCAGATCATCTTAAGCCCAAGACAGGCTGCCAGTGAGTTCAGGTTTCCAGCCTTCAATCTCCAGCTTGTTTTCCTTTCCAGAAGTAGTGTATGGAGCAGAGGAAAGATCACAGCTATGTAATCAGGCTGACCTGTATATGATTCCCTACTATGCTACTCACCTTGAATGAGTAACTTACTGTTTTGGGTCTTCATTCCCTCCTTAAAATGGAGATAATAACAATTCCTACCTTTCAAGATGTTCATGAAGGTTTTTTGGTTTTTATGTTTTTATCTTGTCTCTTAATTGCACACGTGTCTCAAGTCCTCTTAGTCCATGAAAATTTGATGAGATGTTATATAGAGGTTATCAGAATATAGAACCTCTTCAGAGTTTGCACTGAATGTGTGTTTGATTTTTCCTGTTCTTCTCCCTGGCCTGAGCTCTCTTTAATGATGCCAGTACCTTGGGTATTCTGGGTTCTCCTAGTGTTCTGCCACATAACTCTGTAATCTTGAACCAGTTACCTCTCTATACCTCAGGTTTCTCACCTGTGAAATGGGGATTATAATAGTACTCATTTATAATAGTACTCATTTATAAAGATTAAATAAGTAGGACCATTGGGAACCTAGATTGTATCCTGTCTGTGGGAGGACCTGTCAAGAGACACACTGGTAGACCTGCAATTTGAACATCTAGACAGTTGTCCTTGCTCTGCCAGTTACCTACAGTGTGATCTCAGTCAAGTCACTGTCCTTCATAAACCTTAGTTTCCTCCTATGGCAGAGAAAACTAAAAACCCATATTTGGGGTTTGAGTCTTGGCCTTGCTGTTAAATCACAATGTAAACTTGAATGGATCTCGTTGCCTTTCAAGGTTTTAGTTTCCCTATGTGATGAGGGAGTTCAGAGCCATGATTTCAGTCTGAGTAATGATAGGATGTGGACATGGTTCTATCCCTTTGCATTGACCCCTCCTCTGCCATCTTATTCTTTCTTGTCCTCTCAGGCCACCTGGTTCTCAGTCCCCCACCACCACACACAGGCCCAGCTCTCATCAGTGCTCTCAATATTCTGGAAGGCTTCAACCTCACCAACCTGGTCATCCGGGAACAGGCTCTTCACTGGGTGGCAGAGGTAAGGCTAGTCCCTCCACCCACCTGGTTCTGGGGCACCGGGAATGGGGAGGATGGAGTTCTGCCAAGGAGCAGGACTAAATAACTTCTTAGTTTTCTCACACACAAGGATCCACTAGGTGTGGGTGTTGGCAGGAGCCTGGCATCCTCTCTCACAACCTTGATCTGTTTTCAGACCCTGAAGATTGCATTAGCCCTGGCCAGCAGACTGGGAGATCCGGCCTACGATTCTACCATCTCTGAGAGTATGGATGACATGCTCAGGTGGGACCCCAGACAGGGCCAGGGAGATGCAGAGGTGGTGGGTGTTGGGAAAGGATCAGAGCAGAAGCAGCAAGCAGACATAAAGTCCCAGTCAATTTCAGTTGTCATTCATACTGTACCTCTCATCGCACCTTAGTTTCCCATCTGTATAAATTAATCTATTTCATATTGGTCTTTTATCACAGAAAGCACCTTCTGGGCTCACATGTACCCTTTATTTAGTGGGGAAAAAAGAAAGCAAAACAGTAATTAAAAATCTCCAAGCAGATACTGTACTGGGGAGCAGGGACATATCTACATTAGCAGCATAGCATAGTAGTTGAGTTTCCAGTTCATTATTAGATCCTGGCTTTACTACTCACTAGCTGTGCTATCTTGGGAAAGTCATTTAAACTTTGTAAATCTCAGTTTCTATAAAGACTTCTGAAAATGATGGTACGAACCTCATGAGGATGCTGAGAAAATGAAAACCACACATGTAAAGCACTTAGCACATTGTTTGGCACATATTAAGTCTTCATTAAGTGTATTATTATTATTATTATTATTATTATTATTAGGCAGGAGGTAAGAATGGTTGTTGGTTAATTGCCACTGCACCCAACTTTAAGGGAAAGTGTAAACCCAATCATAAATGTAAATATGTATTGTTACTCAAACAACTCTTTAATTAATGAAATTGTAAATGAGACTAAATGAACAACTTATAATTAACAGCAAAGAGGTCAGTATCTAAAACTACTACCTCAAGGCCACAAGGTTGAAGTCTAATAGCCAAGCTTCCTCTCTCCCAGCTCACCTAAAACAAAACCTCTGGAATCTGCTCTCTGTGGCCACCAACCTTCTTGACTGAAAACGGAACTAATGTCTTTAGTAATCCTTGGTAGCAGTCATTCTCTGATCAATTTGAACAACCCAGTTAGTATTACTAGGTAAAAGACTCAAGTTGCCCTTAAAGAAAATGGAAGTCTAAAGACTTGTGTGTCATTTTCCTCTATTGAGTCGTGGAATATAATTAGTAAATCACTGGTCTGTATTTGGAGTATTCCCAAACTGAACTGTAGCTCCCAAGAAGGAGCATAGTCTGGGCCAAGGGGTTGGGAGGAAGCCCATATCTCCTTCTCATTGCCATAGAGTCGGAACTGACTTATTCCTGATGCTCCAGCAGGTTTTCAGAGACTGTAAATCACACACGAGGAGATTGCCTATCTTTATCACTCAAAGCCAGACCTAGCCTCCCTAATGAAATAGTCATAGAGGGTCAAGAAGGTGGCCAGAGAGGCACCACCTTTGGATTAGCAGCACAACTCCCTGCTCACTAGGCTGCCAGAGCTTTGTTTAAAAATTACAATGGGCTCCCCTCCCCCTTCAATTCCCTATCTCTTCCCCAGACTCTAGGAACTGAGAGGGAACCAGGAATGAGTCCATGATGCCACTCTACCATTTGTCCTTCAGCAGATATTTTTTGAGGCCTTGTTATGAGCTGTGCCCTGTGCTCTAATTAAAAATGCTTTATTAGTGATTAAGAAGCCTCAGTGGAAGAATTACATGCTGAAGTGCATGGACTTAGATGAAAGATTGGCAGTTCGAATCTATAATTCTCCATGGAAGAAAAATGGGCAGTCTCCCCTGCCCGTTGTCATAGCCTTGGAAAACCCAATAGGAGGATACCCGTTAGAATTGACTCCACAGCAATAAGCTTTGGTTGGTTTTTTTTTTTTAGGGGGTAGATTTGGTAGTAATGACTAAAGATCCCAAAATTTAAAACCAAGAGCAATATAAATTTAACTAAAACACACACATGCCTATGTTAAAGTAATACAACTAGCTCACCCAGTAACTATTTCTTGAGTTCATTCTATGTGCCAAACCCTCATATACTATCAAAAGAAAAGTCCAGTACTGAGTAAAGATCTCTGAATACTAAATCCTTCCTTGGCTGAATTCATAATTGCATTCTAGTTTTAGACCACAAACATTCCATTTTATTTCTGAGCACCTACTGTACCAACCAGGCACTTTGATAGAAAGGTTAGGTGAATAACGTTAAGTAAATAATTAGGGAAAGAGAATCATCTAAAAGAAAATCTTCAAAACAGATTTATTCAGTTGAATAGCAATTTTTTGGATGTTTCGTATGTGTTAAGGACAAAGCTTATTAATAAAATAATCCACAGACATGGCACATGTGGTAGGTGGGTGTATGCTGTTGTGTTATCATCCATCTACCTCTTCATATTTTCAGCAAAATAGAGGCGGCCTACCTCCGGGGCCACATCAATGATTCCCAGGCAGCTCCTGCTCCGCTCATGCCTGTCTATGAATTGGACGGGGCTACGACGGCAGCCCAGGTGTTGATCATGGGCCCAGATGACTTCATTGTGGCCATGGTCAGGTATGCTGGACCAGGCTCAAAACCTGCCACAAGGGATCATCTGGACAGGAAGGTAGGGCTGGGTCAGGAGTGAGGGTGGGCTCAGAGCTTACCTAGCCTCACTTTGGTCCCCAGCTCCCTGAACCGGCCCTTTGGCAGTGGCCTCATCACTCCCTCGGGGATCCTACTCAACAGTCAGATGCTGGACTTCTCCTGGCCCAACAGGACCGCTAACCACTCGGCACCTAGCCTGGTATGGCCTACCTTCTTCATGTTCTGGGTCCTGAGGCCAGGCAGGAGGTGTGACCAGTGTCATAGTCCCTTCCTAATTGCTCAAGAAAGGCTATTTTAATGAAAAGATCCTGAAAGTGTGCCATCTCTAGAACCACTAAATCTCAGGCTTGGAGTCTGTTGGGTTCAACAAACTCTCAACTCAGGCTATCACCGTCTCACTGTGTGACCTAGGACATGTATTTTCTCTCACGTGATGCTTTGGGCACTCTTCGACACAAGTGGTCTCCACTATGTGATGCTGAGTTCATGGGGCAAATCCTGATTGACAGATACCAAGTGGGGACTCAAGGAAGAGACAGGAAATTATTGTCTAGTTGGAAACCAGCACACTTGAACTCTGCAAGCTGGGACCCTGAGAGTGCGAAGACTGACACACATCATCAGAGCAGGGACGATTCTGTTCTTCCCTTAAACACATTGCTATTTTTCTTGGGCTGGCTCCCTCCTCCCCTGCCCACGGCAGCCCCATATCCCAGTGGGTGTGCTTATCACTCACTCTTAACCAGTCATCCACTCTGCCTATTTCACATTCAGAAATTGGCCAGGGAAGGAACCAATCTCCTATGAAAACTAGACTTGTTGAAGATGCAAGGATATAGCCCTTTCCCTGTCTGGCCCTCTCCCACATACCTCTTTTGGTCTCTGCCCTCTGACAACAGGAGAATTCCGTGCAACCAGGGAAGCGGCCACTCTCATTCCTGCTACCCACTGTGGTCCGACCAGCAGAAGGGCTCTGTGGGACCTACCTCGCCCTGGGGGCCAACGGTGCTGCTCGGGGCCTCAGTGGCCTGACCCAGGTGAGCTTTCCTCCATAGGGCACTTTCATAGCCAGAAGCCAGGCTGAGGCTGGGAATGGAGATGTCCCTCAAGTTTCAGGTTCATTCCATCCCTTTGCTCACGCAGCAAGCATGGATGAGGCTGCTTTGTTTCAGACCTAATATTGGCTTCTCTGAACCCCTTAGTGAAAACAAAGCCCCCAAACTCCCCATCTTTCCAGATTATGGGGGGAGAGAACAGGGTCAGGAGAATAAAAAAGATAATAGCATCTGAACTGGCTGGGTCTGTCAACCTCATGTCTCTGCCCAGCATCAGAATAGACAGTCAGGCTTCCTCAGAGATTTAGGAATGGAAAGCTTGCTACTTTCCTCATATCTCACAGTTATTCCTTGGGCATCTTGAAAACCTTGATAACTGTCCCAGGCATGCAATTTGGCAGGTGGTGTATTACTAGCCTCGATTCCAGTCCAAGCATTACCAGTTTGCAGCTGTGTGATGTTAGCGGATTCACATAACCTCTCTGAGTCTCAGTTTTATCATTTGTAAAATGGTGATAATAATAGTTAATATTTATGGAGTTCTTACTAAATGCTAGACACTGTACTAAACACCTCATGTGTGCTAACTCTTTTAATCTCCTTAACTCTGGGAGGAATCCTTATTCTTATTTTATGGATGAAGAAACTGAGGCCTACAGAGGTTAACAAGTTAGGCCAAGTTCCTTCAATTTGTAGGAAAAGATAGACATCTGGTTCCAAAGCTGAGCCATACTCCTAACTCCTCAGCTAAAAATACCCACATTGTGTGCAACATGAATGAATGGAAATTAAAAAAAAAATACCCACATTGTGTGTGTGATCACTCAGTTTTTAAATTTGTCCTTGCCTGGGACTTTATTTTCACTTTATGAAGATGTGTGTGGTATCAGGTTTGGAGGAAGACTCAACAACCTGCATTATGCAGATGACACAACCTTGCTTGCTGAAAGCAAGGAGTAGTTGAAGTGATTGCTGCAGAGGTGCACGGACTGCAGTGTTCAATATGGATTACATCTTAACCTTAAAAAAAATACAAGTCCACACCACTGGGCCAATGGCAACATCATGCTAACAATTACATATTTCTTAGATCCACAATCAAACACTCTTGGTACCAGTAGTCAGAAGATCACGAGATGTATACATACCACTGGGAAAGTCTGCTGTTAGGGACCTTTCCAAAGTCCAGAAGAGCAATGAAGTCTATTTAAAGACTAATGTGCACCTGATTCAAATTGTAGTGTTTCCAGTCATCTGCTATGCATCTGAGAGCTGGACGATGAATAAGGATGACAGGAGAAGAATTGATGCCTTTGAGCTATAATGTTGTAGAACAGAGATGTCTTGGAGAAAGTGAAATCAGAGTGCTCCTTGGAGGCGAGGATGGCAAACTTTGGGCATATTGTTAGGAGAGGCTGTCCTTGGAAAGGGGCATCATACTTGGAAAGGTAGAGGGTCAGTAAAAGAGAGGAAGACCTTCAACTAGATGTCTGTGGCAATGGGCTGTCAGGAATGATAAGGATGACATAGGATAGGGCAGGGTTCAAATCTGTTGTTCATAGAATGTCATACTCGACTTGATGATACTTAACAACAACAGCAAAGCCAGGGAAGGCGAGGAATCCTGGACTGTGTTGAAGGAGAGTGTGTGCTAATTGCTCCCCTCCTGGGTTCCCTCTAAACCTTGGAGGAAGCAGCTTTTCCTCCCTGCTCTCCCTCACCCTGTCTATGGAATGGGGTTAGTCATTACAGACTGCCTGTCTCCAGGACTGTTAAGAGGCTCAGTGACACCTCTAGTGTAAGGGTTATAAGGATGCAGAGCCAGGTTTGAGAGCTGGGGAGCCCTGGCCCCACTCTTGAGACAGTTGTGACTTTCCCCCCCCCCCTTTGTTGTCCACAGGTTCTGCTGAATGTCCTGACCTTGAACCGGAATCTGAGTGACAGCCTGGCCCGTGGCCGCCTGCACCCGGACCTGCAGTCCAACCTCCTGCAGGTGGACAGTGAGTGCAGAGTGGAGGCCCTACCTGGGGGGGGCACACAAGTGGGTGGAGGAAGGAGTTTCTTCCATGGGTATTCTAGTTTCAACCAGCACCAACTCCCTGCCAGTTTAAGTCTGGTTTATTGCACTGCCAGCTCAAAGGCATATGGTTCAAATTCACCAGTTGCTCCACAAGAAAAAGATGGGCAATTCATCTCCTCCCATGCAATTTATAGTCTTGTTATTTTAAAAAAAATTTATAGTCTCTTAAAACCCACAGGAGGGTCAGGTATGAATTGATTCCAACCTGATGGCACTTAGCAACAACCACCTGCTAGAGAAATGAAAGAGCTAGAGAAATAAGACAGAATTAGAGCAGTTCTTCCATATCTTGGCAGTGTAACCTTGAGAAATTCATGTCTCCAATCTGAGCCTTGATTTTTTCTTCTGTAAAGTAAGATACCTGTCTCCATACCTTTTCGATCTATATGCAGAACAGATCATTCAGGAAGCAGGGCTCTATGAGCAGGAATGTGGCATCAGGATTGGAGGTAGTCTCATCAACAACCTACATTAATGCAGATGACATAACCTTGCTTGCTGAAACTGAAGAAGACCTGAAGCACTTGCTGCAGAAGGTCAGGGACTGTTGTCTTCAATATGATTGAAGCTGAACATCAAGAAGACAAAGATACTCACCACTGGACAATTGGCAGAACCATGATAGATGGAGAAGAGATTGAGGTTGTCAACAATTACCACTTGCTTGGCTTCACATATAACATTCTTAAAACCACCAGTCATGAAATCAAAAGATGAATTGCATTGGCAAAATCTGCTGTCAAGGACCTCTCCGAGTACTGAAAAGCAATGATGTCAGTCTAGAGACTAAGATGCACCAAATCCAGGCCATGATCTTCACAATTACTTGTTATGCTTTAGAGAGTTTAACAGTCACTAAAGAAGACAGAAGAATCGATGCCTTAAAATTGTAGTGCTGGAGAAAAGTCTTGAACATACCATGGACCTCCAAGAAAACAAATAGGTCTGGCTTGGAGAGGATGAAACCAACTTTCTCCTTGGAGGTTAGGATTTTGCAGTTCCGTCTCATATACTCTGGACATGTTGTGAGGAGAGACCGGTTCTTGGAGAAGGACATCATGCTTGGAAGGGTGGAGGGACAGTGCAGGAGAGGAAGACCCCACATGAGATGAATTGATATAGTGACTGGGACAATTGGGATTGGTGTGTCGGAATTAGTGAGACTGGTTCAGGACAGGGCAGGGTTCAGAGCTGCTGTACGTAGTGTCGTTATGGGTCGCAGGTGACTCAACAGTACATAACAACAACAACAAAATAAGATATAGCTGTTAACTCTGCAAACCTTCAATCATTCAGCAACTTGGAGTCAACACTTGCTGTGTGCCAGGCATCATCCTAGGAGCTGGAGACACTGCATTCACAAACAGACAAGAAAACAACCAAAGAAATGTCAGGTGGCAGAACAACTGCTATGCAGAGCATTAAAGCAGGATAATGTAACCAGACTGATTGGATGGTCAAGAGATGTTTCTCTTTGTTGAAATTTAAGCTGAGATCTGAAGAGTGAAAGAGTCCATCATGCAAAGAACTAGAACAGAGCTTTGTAGGCCAAGAGAACAAGTGCAAAAGATCTCAGGACAGGAATGAACTTGGAATGTTTTGCTTGAGAAAGAAGTGAGACAAGACCAGAGAGGTAGGCAGGGCCTGGATCCTTAACTTTAATGTCATGGTAAAGAGATGGACTTGTCTTTGAGAAGGACAGGTGCCATGATGAATCGAATACAGCTTAACATAACTGAGAATGTGTGTACACCTTTGAGGAGTTTTTATTGCATCAGGCAGTGCACTGTACTATTCCAAAAAGGCTAGGAAACTGAACAAGATATAGTCCTTGCCTGATTGGCATTATTATTCATTATTATCTTCATCTTAGAAAAAAAAAAGAAGTTGAGACTCAAAAAACTAGCTAAAGATCAGCCAGTAAGTGTCAAGAGAGAAACTCAAACTTACACCTGGCTGATATCTAAGACTTAGTTCTTTGTTTCATGGCTCCTGAGATCTGAACCTAAGCATGTTAGGAAGTAACAGGCCTACATTCTCAACCATGAGACTCAGTAGTTAGCTGAGGGGCTCTTTAGAGCCTAGCCAACAGATGATGCTAAGACCTTAAAAAAATTATGTCCAACAAATATCTGTTGGTTTCCACTGAACATGAGGCTCTTGTGCTGAGTTATTTGGGGCTAGTGTTAATCATGCTGGCCGTCCTCTAAAGGGCTTACAGTCCAAGATAGGAATAAGGAACAGGAGCTTGGTAAATGGAACATTCATGGACCTGAGACAACTGGGAAACATTGTGAAGGAGGTGATAAATGACTTGGCTTTGAAGTAGGATCGGGATTTTGGCACATGGTGGTCAAGAATATTCTGGATAGGGGAAAGTACCTTTAACTGCTTAGTTATTAGCCAAAAGGTTAGCAGTTCAAATCCACTCAGAGAAAGGCCTGAAGGTCAGCCTCCAAAAGGTTATAGGCATTGAAAACCCTATACACAGTTTCAGGCCTTTTCTCAAACATGGGATGAATTGCCGTGAGTTGAAATCGAATCAGTAACAGTTGGTTTTTTGCTTTACATGTCATCTAACCCCTTATTTATGTAATATATATCTTTAAGTAAGCATCTCTTTTGACCTAAATGTATTTTAAAGTTACATTTATCTCATCAGAAAACAAACATAACCAGTATTATTTGTTATAAACAGATGATAAATAGCTATAAAAATAAAATATTATTAGGTCTTAGATGTTGTTGTGTGTGGAAGGCTCTAAGGCTTGTTCTCTCCATTAGAAAGATTAGGGTACGTTATCGACAAGATGGACCCATACGTGGAAAACCTGAATGTGAACATTTCATTTCCATTAATGATTTAACGCTATTCAGTGGGTGACTTTATCTTAAAAAGTACCTAAATCATTCTTTTTGGGGCAATAAAAGGATTCTGCCTTATTGAAGAACAGAGGGAGGTAAGACTGAGATCCGTGTTAATAGTATGGATTGAGCAGGAGAGAGAGACATGATATGATTTGTGTTATGAAGGAGAGATGAACTGAAGGAAGGACATGAGAAATAATTGAAAGAAGGAATGAAGTTGGGGAAATGAGAGACACATCTAAAATAATGGCCCAAGCAAGAAGTGATAAGGATCTATATTTATGCAAGAGGATGGGGATTTGTTAATTTATCCAGTAAATACTTGCTTAACATTTACTAAATCCTGATTGCATTCTGGGCACTAGTTATCAATAACAAATAAAACACCATCTCTGCCATCAAAAAGCTTGTATTTCAGTGTAAGGAGACAGTAAACATAAATACAGGTAGAAGGAAGTAAGTAAAGCAGGGTAAAGAAAATAGGGGTGCTATTTTAAATAGTAGTAAGAGAAATTATCCTTGAAAAGTACCTTTTAAGCAAGGACTCTACTGAAGAGCTCTGGTGTCTTAGTGGTAAGAAATGGCACTGCCAACACAAAAGTATGCGGTTTGAATCCAGCAAGTGTTCTGCAGGAAAAAAAGATGGGCATCTCCTTCCATGTGGTCTACTGCCTCTGAAAACCTGTTGGAGGATCAGCAGTGGGCCAATTCTAACCCAGTGGTACACACTACTGAAGTAAAGAAGCCAGCTTTGTACCAATCTAGAAGGGGAGGGCATTCCAAGCAGAGAAAATAATAAGGGCATAAGACCCTAAGGTAAGAGCACATTTGGCCTACTTGAGTGCTAACCAAGGCAGTGAGTGGAAGGAGATGAAGAGAAGTAACAAGGGCCCAGATAACGGTGGGCATTAGCAGCTTTATTAAATAAAGGCTTTGGGTTTTATTCTAGGAGGTATCAAAGCTCTGTTGGAAGGTTTGGAATGGGAGAAGCAGCTAAGGTTTTAAAAGGATGCCTTTGTGCAACAATGAATGAATGGAAATCCAAGTTCTCTATAAACTTTAATTAAAATCTCAATTAACAAAAGGAGGGGGGAAGATACCTTTGGCTGCTTCATGAGGCAGGACTGGAAAAAGAGAGTCTAGTTTGTGGGCCATTGCAGTAATCCTAACAAGAAATGATGGTATCTTGGCCTAGACAGGCAGAGATGATGACCCCCAAACTGTTTTCCAGATCTTAAGTGTTCCAAGTGCTGAGCTCAGTTGCTTTTTGGGCATCATTTTCTTTAATCTTTGCAACAATTTCATGTAGTAGATTCCCTTATAATCTCTACTGTATACCTAAAAAGACTGCAGCTCCGAGTGGTGATGCGATTTGGCCAAGGTCATCCGGCCTAACATTGGGACTTAGATCTGATCATAGGATTCCGGAGCCATTGCTCTGAGCTCTGAATGTATGTTTGTTGTTTGTTGGGGACTGGTTTTCAGGTGACTTCACAGAGGAAGAGATTGAGTTCCTGGAAACCAGGGGCCACCACGTGGAGAAGGTAGATGTCTTATCGTGGGTCCATGGCAGCCGGAGAACCAACAACTTTATCATCGGTGTAAAGGACCCTCGGAGCCCAGATGCAGCAGGAGCTACCATGGTGTAGAGCAGTGGGGTGGGGCAGGGTCTCTGCTCCTCCCCCTTTGCATGTTCCCAGAGTCCCTCTTCCTCCCAGGTTGGTCTCAGGGGGACCCCAAGGATGCCCCAGGTCTGGAGCCAAAGGGGATGCTTAGCAAACCCTATCCCAGGATAACTGGAACAATCTCCTATGCCTGTGGTGATGGTGGTGGATGTCAGTGTCCACAACCAGAAAACCAGGACCTTGAGGAGTCAGACTATCTGTCTGTTTTCTCTCCTCCCTCAGCCATGCTGGCCCTGAGCTTAGGGATGTGCTTGCAAACCCTTCTTGAGGGTTCTCACAAACAACCCCAACATTTTCAGTCTGGCCTGACCTGGGCCTTGTCTTCCAGCTCCTTTCCCCTGCCCCCAGCCTCATTTCTTAAATGACTAGATTTTTTTTAATGGACCATCCTGGGGGTGGGGGTGCTCCTCTCCTCCTCCCACCAGGTTGAAGCAGGGGACCTTGCATCTGGAGGTCTCCGGGGTGTGGGGTAGGGGTAAGGGTGGGAACCAGCTCAGGGGCTTCCATTTGCAAAGGAGAATTAAAGAAAGAATATTGCTTAATCATGTTTCTGTTTTATTTTTGTTGGGCTGGTTTAGGAGTGTGAGTGGATGAATAGACCTCAGCCCACCCTATTCCAGCAGCCCTAACTATAGGCCAAACTAAAATCAACTTTCCAGGGGTCATAATAATAATTTTCATGTATCCATGACCACTTACACTAATAATGATAGATAAATAGAAAGAAAAGTTAACATGTGTGCTAGGCTCTATGTTAAATATTTTAGTTATATAATTCCATTTTCATTACAGTAGATAGGTGCTATTACATGTGTTTCACAAATGAGAAACTAAGGCAAAGAGAGGTTTAAGAAACTGCCTGGATTTATCATCTAGTAAATAGAATAATTAGGATTTAGTAGTCTCAGGCTAACTCTAAATTCTGTCCTCCTAACCACTTTAACATCTACTAGGTGTGCTCCAGTCCCAAAGGTGTGCAGTTCAAATCCATCGGATGCTCTGCTGTAGAAGAAGGAGCAGTCTCCACCAGTACCAGTTGGATCTGATTCGATGGTACACACACACACACACACACACACACACACACACACTATTTAAAAAAACCAACAACCCACATCTACTAGGTGAATTGTTTGTTATAAAGTACTCAACCTTCCACAGGCAGATAGTAAATATTTCAGACTTTATAGGCCATAAGGTCCTTTGGTAATTACTTGACTCTGCTGTTGTAGCACAGCAGTTTTAACTGTACTTCAGTGAGGATTTATTTTATAAAAACACCAAATTTGACCAAAGGGCCTGCACTATCTTTATACCTATAGTTGCACATACTGATGATACAGCCTTGCTTGTTGAAGTTGAGACCTGAAGCAATTGTTGAAGAAAACCAAGGACTGCAATCTCCAATATGGATTGAAGCTCAATATCAAGAAAACAGATTCTCACCACTGGGTCAATTGGCAGCACCATGATAGATGGAGAAGAGATTAAGATTGTTAGTAATTTCAGCTTGTTCAGTTCCATAATCAACACTTTTGGCATTATCAGTCAGGATATCAAAAGACAAATTGCATTAGGTAAATCTGCTGTTAGGGATATCTCCAAAGTGCTGAAGAGCAGTGATGTCTTTAGACTAAGGTGCCCCTGATCCAGGCCATATCGTTGTTGTTGACTGCCTTCGAGTTGAACATAACTCATAGCAACCCTATTAACAAAAGGCCTGAAGCTCCTCAACATTTATCAAAGTTCATAGAGTTTCCGGAGGCATGTTATTTACAAAGTGGATGCCACTCCTGCTTCCAAAATGGTCTTCGCAGTTACTTGCTACACATCAGAGAGCTGGACACTGACTAACGATTATAGAAGAAGAATTGATGCCTTTGAGTTGTGGAGCTGGAAAAGATTATTGAGCATACCATGGACTGTCAAGAAAACAAAGAGACCTGTCCTGGAAAAGGTGAAACCAGGGTTCTCCTTGAGGCAAGGATTTTGAAACTCTGTCACACATACGTTGCGCATGATGTCAGGAGGGACATCATATCCTTGGAGAAGGGTGTCATGCTTGGAAGGGTGGAGGGACAGTACAGGAGAGGAAGTCCCTGGATAACATGGATTGACACAGGTTTATGGGGGCAGGTGTGCCAGAGATGGTAAGATTGACTTGGAATAGGGCAGGATTCAGAGCTAGTTGCTGTGAGTCGTACTTGACCCGACAGGACATATAATAACAACAACATACAAAATATATAAAAATATGACTAAGGAAAAAAAGACATAATGAGAAAAGAGTCATTACATCAAGATATTAGATACAAGATAAATTTTAAAAACCCAAACCACTATTATTTCCATATTCTAGAAATGAACATCCAGAAAAGGAAATTAAGAAAATTTCACTTACAATAACATAAAAACCCAAATATATTTAGGAATATTTTTTACCTAATCTCTGCCTTTTATGGGTTTTCCTTATATTTATTTTCTTTCTTTATAAGAAACAACCTTGATATCTCTTAAAAGGATCTAATAACAAGGCTTCAGAAATTGACAGAATATCAAATTAAAAAAAAAAATAAAAAGAATATCAAATTAAATGCTTCTACAAGTAGATGCCATGCTGGAAGTGCTTACTCTTTTATGCCAAGAAATTTGAAAGAGAGCTACTTGGACATTGAAACCGCTTCCCGTAAGCTCACATATGATATCCACACTCCAAAACCTACTTCTAATTCTAATGCCAGTTGTATTTCTCTACTACTGGATTTGAAATCTGTTGCAATAGCTATACAGACCTCAAGGAACCGTATTCACAATTATGGGATTTATTAGGGAAGTTAACAGGTTACTACTCAGACTGGCTGTTGTGTGCCGTGAAATTGGAAATGATTGATGTAGCTCCAGTGAGTTTTCAGAGGCAAGCAATCACATGGGAGGAGATTGCCTGTTCTACTAAGGAGCAGCTGGTGGAATTGACCCACTTAGAACAACTTCCTAAGTATGCTTATAGATCTTTAGCCTTCAACTTTGGGATTTAAGTCAGTGTCCTGCCAATTATGTGTAACTCCACTTCCCACAGAACTCCAGCAAGCTTGGGTGAAGAAGGCCTCTAGCTCAGGCTCCATAACGCAGCATTGCCAGGTCATCTCTGTCTCTTGTCAGTCTCTGGTTCTCTGCTGTAGCTGTTGATGCCCTTCAATAGGTCCCTGTTTGACTGGCGCAGAAATCTTTGACTCCAAAGGACATGCACTATGTTCTTTGCTTCCTCGTTACTGATAGTGAGATTCCCAGTTTTTGCCACTGAGCCTGATCAATTTAAATCTGGCAGAATGGCCAAACTGGCCAATACACTTGTGGATAGATTAACATACCATATTTGCATGTTCCTCCTCAGTCATGTGGCAAAAATCAAAGGAAGAGGCCTAACAAAATCATCTGAACAATAAACTCATAAAAGCCCAGGCTTTTGAAAGCTGATTCAACAGAAAGCAGAAATTATTTAACAATATCACTAGTATCACATGCAAGTGATATTCATCTTGTTGAAGATCATAAAAAAATAATTGAAACAGTACACCAATAGGAAACTACCAGAAATGAAAATTTTATTCACAAGAGGGTATGGAAAAAAAAAAAAGAGGGTATAGAACAAGGAATATAGTTGCTGATATCAGCTATATTTTTACTGAAAGCAGAGAATACCAGAAACATATTTATCCGTTTTATTGACTTTGCAAAAGCATTCAATGGTATGAATCATACAAATTACAGATACCATTGGTAAGAACAGTAATTTCAGAACATTTAATTGTGCCCATGAGGAATCTGTACATAGACCAAAAGGCAGCTATTCAAACAGATCAAGGGTTATGTTTTTAAAATCAGGAAGATGTGTGCCAGTGTTGTATAATTTCATTATACTTATTCATTATGTATGTTTAGCAAATAATCCAAGAGACTATTTAAAGGAAAATGTGGCACCAGGATTGGAGGAAGACTTATTAATTAAAGAGATACACAGATGACATAACCATGTTTGCTGAAAATGAGAATACCTGAAAGTGATGAAAATCAAAGAGTGTAGCCTTTAGGAGATCATGATGATGGCACAGGATAGAGCAAGTTTCCAATATGTTGTTGATAAGGTCATGATGAATCATAGTTGACTCAACAGCACCTAACAACACAAGCTTCTGTATGGAGTCCACTTCAACATAGGAAACTAAAATTCACACAACCAGACCAATAAGCAATATAATGATAAATGAAGAAAAGATTGAATTATCAAGGATACTTGGATTCACCATGGATGCATCAGTTAAGAAATCATATAAAGGAAAAAAATTCAAACAATATGTTGAATCGGGCAAAGGTGAAATAAAGGACCTCTTTAAAATGCTAACAAGCAAGGTCATCACTTTGAGGACTAAGGTATGCCTCACCCAAGCCTTAGTATTGTCAATTATCCCATATACATGTGAAAATTTAACAATGAATAAGGAAGATAAAGAGAATATGATGCCTTTGAATTGTGGTATTGACAAAGAATTGAATATACAGTGGACTGCCAAATGAATAACCAAATTGGTCTTAGAGGAGGGGCAGCCAGGATTTTTCTTGGCAAATAGGATAGTGAGACTTAGTCACACATAACTTTCTCCAGCTCCTGGAGAAAGACATTATGGTTGAGAAAGGAGAATGCCGTCAAAAGGGAGGAATATCTTAAATGAGATGCAATAGCACAGTGTCTGCAACCATGAGCTCAAGCACTATATCAATTGTGAAGATAGTACAAACCAAACAATATTTAGTTCTGTTGGACATGAAATCACTGTGAGTTGACAGCAATAACAGGGTAGTTACAAGAAGATGGTAACAAGTGTTAACAATAATAAGGAGAACAAGAAACCCTCATACAATGCTTGTATTGTTGTTAATTGTCTTCTACTCAAACACGACTCATAGAGACCCTATGAGCAAAAGGCCTGAAGTCTTTCTATAACTATCGACATTGATCAAAGTTCATAGAGTTTCCAGAGGCATGTTGTCTAGGAAGTGGATGCTACTCCTGCTAGTGGAATTTAAATGGTTAAGCCACTTTGGAAAACCATTTGGTAGTTCCTCAAATGATTAAAGAGTTACCTTATGGCCAAATAACAAATGAAAGCATATATTAATATAAAAACTTGGTGCACAACTATTTATAGTGATGAAGTTACTGGGGGCCTGGTAAAGTTCCATTTCTTGATTTAGATTCTGGTTGCACATTTGTTCACTTGATTTAAATTTAGTGAAAATTCATCATCTTTACATTTATGGTTTGTGCACTTTTAGGTTCCATGTTATACTATAATAAAAAAGCTGTCATTTGGGGTTTGTTTGTTTTTTTTTTAGGGAGGTATTTAACATGGGAATTTCAGTGTCTTTTTAAAACTTTTCAGTTTTAAATTTTAAATATAAGTTTTAAATTTTCAATTTGCCATCTTGAGAACTTATGTGTGAGTGGAATGGAGGGCTGCTTGTCACTTCTTGATACTCTCCAAT